GGGCTCGGAGGATAGGGTATGGGGCCGACAAGATGGTAAAAGAAAGGGCGGAGTCTAGATGGAAGGGGGCGCGGCCTGTAGGGGAAGAGGTGCGGAGCCTGGGGTGGGGCTCCGGGCTCGGGAAAGAACCGTGGAGGCGAGGATCTCCGAGGAGAGGAGTTAGGGGTGGCATTGAGGAAAAGCAGGGTTTGAGTCTGGATTTTCAGAGGGAGTGGGAAAGGGCGGGGATAGAAAATACCCAGAAAGTTTTGAGACCAGGAGAGGAGCTCAGACAAGGGTGGGGCTTAAGTCGATTTATAATTACATATTCCGATAGTTGGGCGGGGTCAGTCAGAGACAGAGGAGCTAGAGGCGTGGTGTAAAGGGAATAGGAGGCCAGGCGCGGGGGGCGTGGCCTAGGAGGTGGGCGTAACCCGCAGAGAGGAGGCGAGCTTTGGCGCAATTTCGGGGCTGGCCTGCAGTGAAGAGGCGGGGCTAGAGGTGGGGCCAGGACTGAGACTATTAAGTTTGAGGCTGTGGGATTGCATGAGTGGCGGGACCAGGAAAAGAAGCATCCTATGTCCGGGGTCGACACCCAGAAGTGGAGAGGTCGAACTAAAAAAATAAAGGATTTAAAGATTTAAAAACGGGGGCGAGGCCACTGAGCTTGGACGGAGCAGGGCCGGTGGGGACTGAAGCCAAGAATGTAGTGTTGAGAACATGGATTCTACAGTTCGCGTCCCAGCTGGTTCTGCGACTCAGTGTCCTCTTCTGTAAACCGGAAATGATGATGTAAAATAGTGTGTAACACATGGCGAATGTGAATGCTACTTTGCTATTATATTTCCCTGACCCTGATCCCAAACCTCCCTTTGAAGGTGCGAGAGAAAGGAAGACTCAGTAGTCCAATCTCTTTGAGTGACTCGACTTGAGTGCAGATCTAGGAGATTTCGGTGGTTTAAAATCTCACAGTGGAGGGGATTAATGCCGTGGGAGGGGGGGCAGGTGCAGAGGGTGAAGCCTTCCTGATCCCAAGACTGAAGGATGGCGGCCCTTGCCCGCCGGCTGGAGCGCCTGCTCTGGCCAGCGCGAAAGGAGGAGGGGGCAGAGGAGGAGGAGGGGCGCAGGGCTCCCAACGGGCCTCGCTTGGGTTCCTCCTGGACGCCCCGCGATACGCTCAGCGTGTGCGGGCGCTTCGCCTGGCTTTCTGGAGCGCAGACGCACGCCCGCGCTCGCTCTGGCCCCGCGGCGAACCAGGAGGCTCTACCGCGGTGGTGTTACTCGTCTACCTGGCACACTGCGGTGACTCTCGCGCGGTGCTGAGCCGCGCTGGAGCTGTGGCCTTCAGCACCGAGGGCCATCGACCCCTCCGGCTCCGGGAACGCAAGCGTATCCGTGCGCTTCTCTGCGCGCAGCTGTTGGACACGTGCCTGTGCAAGGTCCTGGGGTGGGGCTTGGGGCGAAGAGCCTAATGGTTTTAGGGCGGAAGGGCTTTAATGGAGAGGCATAAGTAAAACTAAACAGGGGGTGGAGTTCCACTAAAAGGCTTCTGCTGGAATGGGGCAGGGCCAAAATATGGAGAGGGCAGGCTGCCTTGAAGCAAGATGGAAAAGTGGTACTTGAAGTGCTAAATAAATAAGTGGGAGGGGTTTAAGAGAAAGGGCGTGGTCTTTTGGGTGGGAGGGCCCTGGGTCATAGGAGTGGGTCTTGTTTTTTGTTTTTTTTTTAAATATATTTTTATTGACTTTTCACAGAGAGGAAGGGAGAGAGATAGAGAGTCAGAAACATCGATGAGAGAGAAACATCGACCAGCTGCCTCCTGCACACCTCCCACTGGGGATGTGCCCGCAACCAAGGTACATGACCTTGACCGGAATCGAACCTGGGACCTTTCAGTCCGCAGGCTGACGCTCTATCCACTGAGCCAAACCGGTCTTGGCAGGGTCTTGTTTTTTAATTTAATTTTTATTTATTGATTGTAGAAAGAGAAGAAAAGAGAAAGACATTAATTTATTGTTCCACTTAGTTATACATTCATTGGTTGACTCTTGTATGTGCCCTAACTGGGGATCGAACCCGCAACCTTGGTGTATCAGCACCATGCTCTAACCAAATGAGCTACCCAGTCAGGGCCCAGAGTGGGTCTTTTTCTTTTCTTTTTTTTTTTTTAAGAGAGGGAGAGAGAGACAGAAACATCAATGATGAGAAAGAATCAAAAAAAACCTTGTAAAAAAAGCAAAAACAACAACAAAAAAAACAATCTTATTCCGAGCATTCCAGTAACTTTTTGTGTATGTACTTAGCTGTACTATAAGTAGTTGGTTTGTATGAGATGGTTAAAAAGGCCAAAGATAAGAAGGTTTCTTTTTTTCCCTTTTTTTGTCTATGAAATTGCTGTTTATTTTTTTTGGCCTGTTCGATGTATGTGTGAAACAATGTTGTCCACAATAAACAGGAATTTTATTTTGCTGAGTTGTTCTAACAACAACAACAAAAAAAGAATCATTGATCGGCTGCCTCCTGCACACCCCCTACTGGGGATCGAGCCCGAAACCAGGGCATGTGCCCTGACCGGGAATTGAACCATGACCTCCTGGTTCATAGATCAATGTTCAACCACTGAACCACACAGGCCGGGCGGAGTGGGTCTTGAGGTCTGACCAGGAGAAGCAGCTAGAGTGGGAGGAGCTTTGGGGAAAGGGCGTGGTTCTCTTAGCGAACCACACAGGCCGGGCGGAGTGGGTCTTGAGGTCTGTCTAGGACCAGGAGGAGCAGCTAGAGTGGGAGGAGCTTTGGGGAAGGGGCGTGGTTCTCTTAGGGCCGGCGGGGCTAGACCAGTAAGGGGAGTGGCCTAAGGGATCTGTCCCTGTGAGATGGCTTGGTTTAGACTGGCAGATGGGCGGGGCTTGAGAGAAATGGGGAGACCCACACAAGAACTCAGGGATTGTTAGGGAGCTCTGCTTCCGAGAGCGTGGGGCCCCGTGCTGGGGCATTCAATCAGGTCCCACTACAGTATACACTCGTTTCTCCACCTTCTTCAGGGCAGGCTGGACAACATGACCTGCATCCTGGTCTGCTTCCCCGGGGGCCCCCAGGCCTTGCAAGGAGGAAGGAGCTTGAGCTGGATGCAGCCCTGGGCCGCAGGGTCGCAGGTGGGCAAGCTCTTCTAGAAGCTCAGCGGGAAGGGTGGTGGCAGGGGCACTCCCATAATCCTTGCCGTGTTCCTCTGCCCAGAAGCCCCCCAGCCTGAACAAGGTGTTCAGGACTCTGGCCTCTGAGGACATCCCGGATTTACCTCCTGGGGGAGGGCTCTACTGCATGTGAGTCGGGTGGGAGGGGGTAGAATGGGGGAGGGGAGGTGGCCAGAGGAGGGTCTGTCTTGAGGGCTCCCCCCACTCTGCTCTCCAGGGCCGCTGTCATCGCTGAAGCTTATTCTCAGCTCTTCCAGGCCTCAGGGCAGCGCTGGGAGGTAAGGACCCTCTGTTCTTTTTTTTTTTTTTTAATATATTTCATTGATTTTACAGAGAGAAAGGGAGAGGGATAGAGAGTTAGAAACAATTATGAGAGAGAAACAGCAATTCAGCTGCTTCTTGCACACTCCCTACTGGGGATGTGCCCGCAACCAAGGTATATGCCCTTGACTGGAATTGAACCCGGGACCCTTCAGTCCGAAGGCCGACGCTCTATCCACTGAGCCAAACCAGTTAGGACAGGAACCTCTGTTCTTGAATGGTTATCTTGGAAGCACTTAATCCAGCCCCCTCCCCCCGCCCCACACACCTCCTTTAGGGATAGGGAAATTGAGGTCAGAGGGGACAAGGGACTTGCCTGGTATATTAATACATTCTCACTCCTGGCTTGAAGCATTGTGCTAGGTATTACGGTGGGGAAGCAGAGCAGAAGAGACTGCTCCCCCGCCAAGAAATGTGCCCCCTGCAATGCTCTGTAAAGCCCCATCATTCCAAGCACCACCCCCTCCATCCAGGAATAAGGCAGAAACATTCAAGGAATGTTGTGGACCAGGCCTGGGTGCCCTGCGGGCCAAGAGATCCCTGAGGATAGTCTGGGTGTTGGAGAGAGGCTGTGAATTGCGCCCAGGCAGCCTAAGAGAACTGGAGGTGTCCACAGAGGCGGTGGGCGGGCCACAGAAAGGCAGGGGTGAGGTGGGGCTCCCAGTGGAAACGGGTAGGAGGAAGCCGGGGCCAGAGGCTTTCGCATAGCAGAAAAGAGGGTTTGGTTATTCCCACTTAGAGGAGGGCGGCTGTTGCTAGTTTCTGAGCAGCAGGAGGAGGTATTTGTCAGAATTGTTTGAGTTGTGAGTGACAAACCCAATTCAATCTGGGAAAGTAAAACAGGGAATTTACTGGGCCATGTAATTGAAGAGTTCGGGGACTTCAGGCATGACTGCGTCCAGTTGTCAGATGATGTCATCAGGAACTGTCTCTTAGTTTTATTTCCTCTGAATTGGCTTCGTGCCCAGGCAGGGTCTGAGCTCGAGGGAGCAGAGACTTGCAGCTCCAGCCTCACACCCCATGAGCTTAACATCCTCCGTGGAAAGAAGGCACCGGTTTCCCAGGAGTTGCAGCAATGGCTCCAGAGCTGGTTTTCATCGGCCGCCCGGGGTCACGTGCCTGCCAGTCACTGTGTCTCTGACCGGCCAGACTGTGGTCACAAGCCCACCCCTAGAGCTTAGGGTTGGGGGTCCAGTGCTTCCAAACCCGATGGATTGAGAGATGGGGGATGCTGGTCCCCCCAAAGGGAAATAGGAGTGGTGTTTCCAGAATATAGGGGAGTAGATACTGAGAGACTAGAAGGGGTGTCTATGCACCATCTCTTATGTTTTATGTTACAGAAGGCGAAGAACGGGGCTGGGAAGGCCACTGGCACCCATCCAAGCTCTGCCTTGGACTTCAGGCCTGACAGCTGTCGTCCTTAGGGGGTCCCCCTGTTGTCCTTTGGGGCCCTAAGGGAACTTAGAAACCTCTCCTTCCTCAGCTACAAAGAACAGCGGAAGGAAGAAGAGCTGATGGAGGAACCTCAGAAGGTTTATTTCCCCTTCTCCTACTTCCCTCTCACAAAAAAGTCTTATGAGAGGGGGAATTCCACTCACCATCTAGATGGAAAAAACACACCCCAAAACCAAATGTTTAGAGCTGAACGGATCCTGAAAGATCACCCAGTTCAATAACCGTGTCTCCCCTTTCCATTTCTCATCTGTTATGGAGGAGCTAGGGGAGATGTTATTATGAAATTAGAATTACATAATTCAAGATACATTTTTCTTATAGAAAAAACACACACACCCCAAACATCGTTTGCCCAGTCATTTGGCAAATATATTGGGCACCTGCTCACAGCCATCAGCCAGGGGGCCTCACTGAGATTCCTGTCTATTCTAGGGGCCCACCTCCTAGTGCAGTGGTTCTCAACCTTCTGGCCCTTTAAATACAGTTTCTCATGTTGTGACCCAACCATAAAATTATTTTCGTTGCTACTTCATCACTGTAATGTTGCTACTGTTATGAATCATAACGTAAATATCTGATATGCAGGATGGTCTTAGGCGACCCCTGTGAAAGGGTCGTTCGACCGCCAAAGGGGTCTCGACCCACAGGTTGAGAACCGCTGTCCTAGTGTGTGTGGGCAAACAAGGGAACCGATAAACAAGGTCACCTCAGACACTGACAAGTGTCTCAAGGAAAATAAAACAGGTGGATGTGGTAAGAAAAGCTACTTTGGTTTTTTAAAATTGTTATTCGTTTATTTTTTTTTTTTTAATGGTAATAGATCCCTTGGTTCAAATTCAAAGGGTACAAAAAGGTATGAGAAATCTTGCCCTAGCTGGTTTGGCTCAGCGGATAGAGCGTTAGCCTGCAGACTGAAGGGTCCCGGGTTCAATTCCTGCAAAGGGCACATGCCCTGGTTGCGGGCTTGATCCCCAGTGGGGGGAGTGCAGGAGGCAGCCAATCAATGATTCCCTTTTCCATCATGTTTCTATCTTTCTCCCTTCCTCTCTGAAACCAATAAAAATATACTTTAAATAAGTAAATAAATAAAATGAGAAGTCTTTCTCCACCCCCACCCCTCAGCCCCTGGGGATGGATGCTTTAGACAGGGGATCAGTCTGAGGAGGGGACAGTCTGACAGAGAAGCAGCCAACCACATAAACACCCCAGGGAAGTGTCCCAAGGCAGACCAGTGCGAAAGCCTAGAGACAGGATCAAACTTGGTATTTTCTTTAAAAAAAAAAAAAAGTATTGATTTGAGAGAGAGAAATATTGATTTTTTTTGTTCCACTTATTTTTTTAAAAAATATATTTTATTGATTTTCAGAGAGGAAGAAGGGAGAGAGATAGAGAGTTAGAAACATTGATGAGAGACGATCAGCTGCCTCCTGCACATCTCCCACCGGGGATGTGCCCGCAACCCAGGTACATGCCCTTGACCGGAATCGAACCCGGGACCCTTCAGTCCGCAGGCCGACGCTCTACCCACTGAGCCAAACCAGTTTCGGCTGTTCCACTTATTAATGCATTTATTGGTTGATGCTTGTATGGGCTCTGACGGGGGGTCAAACCCGCAACCTTGATGTATTGGGACAACACTCGAACCAACTGAGCCTGGCTAGGGCTCGAACTTGGCATTTTCATGATGAGGCTTGAGATTTCTATGACCATTGAATACTCCACAATCCCATTCCCTATCCTGTTGGTAACCACTGCCATGAGTTTGGAGTGGCTTTTCCCAGACCTTTGATTCTGCATACACACCCATGTATGTGGTGTTTCCTTGATCGTTTTCATATCCTATGTAGCATTTGTCAGTTTGTTTTTCCACCCAGTGATATGTTGGGGGCTAGTTTCATGCCATTTGCACGCCTCATTCTTTTTTTTAATGTAACTTTATTATTTTTTAATTTCTTTACTGATTAAGTTATTACATATGTATCCTTATCCCCACATTATCCCCCCATTCCTCCCTGCACTCCTCATTCTTTTTAGCTGCTGCCCAGTGCTTCAGATAAGGGATGTGCAATGGTTTCTGTGGGGAGCCGGCACGGCCATGGCATACTCAGCCCCAGGGCGCCTTACGTGCCATGCCAGCTCAGCCTGGTTCAGTGACCCTGAGTTGGGGGATGAAAGGATTGAGAAAAGACAGACAAGAGAATAATAGCTGGGACTCGTGGGACGCTGCTCCCTGATGAGGAGATAGCACCGGCGCCCACAAGCCGTGTCTTTATTTTATAGCAGATGCCACGAGGCAAAGTAGGGGCGTGATCAAGTTGTTTACAACATTCTAGTGATTTTCAACCTCACTCAACTACATGCACCTGAACGCTATCACAAGGCACGTGGGGCCACGTGTTCGGACCGTAGGTTCAAGCTTACAACCACAGCTGTTGGCTATGATTGTGCTGGGAGGGCCCTGCCCTCCAGCTGGGACTTGCACGTGGCAATGAGAGGACCCTGTCCTTTCATTAGTCTGAGGCTTGAACCTGGCCAAAACACTGTAGCCGCGCCCCACAGGTTTCCCTATCCATCCTCCTCTTTTTAAAAAAAATTTATTTTATTGATTTTTTACAGAGAGGAAGGGAGAGGGATAGAGTTAGAAACTTCAATCACCTGCCTCCTGAACACCTCCCACTGGGGATGTGCCCGCAACCAAGGTACATGCCCTTGACCGGAATCAAACCTGGGACCTTTCAGTCTGCAGGCCGACGGTCTATCCACTGAGCCAAACCAGTTAGGGCTCCATCCTCCTCTTGATGGACCTGTAGACTATTTCCAGTTTCTTGCCCTCACATCACTGCTGCCATGAAGATCTTGGTCAGGCTCCTTGTGTACATTTGCAAGGGTTTCTCTAGTGCAGGAGTCTTGCTACCTGTTTTACACAACACGAGTTAAGAATGGCTTTTACATTTTAAAGGGCTGTAAAAGGCATGTGAAAGGGACTCTATGCCTAATATGCCTAAAACATCTACTAGAAAAAGTTTGCTGACTGCAGTGCGGGTGGCACACAGAAGCACCACCCTTCCCATTTCACAGATGGAAAAGCGGAGACCCAGTGAGGAGAAAGGACTTGCCCAAGGTCACACAGAACTGGAGTTCTTATTCAGTTGAATACCTGTGTGTTGAAATGCTGTTCTGGGTCTGGCTGAGTTAGTGAGTCACAGAAATACGATGAAGTCTACACTTGTTCCCAAAGAACTTACAGCCTGAGGAGACACACAGAGAAACAATTCTAACCCAGGTGGGCCCGGGTTCAAGGGCTCCCAGGGTGAGCTGGAGCAGTTACTCGATTCTGCAGAGAAGAATTAATGTCAGCACATGTCCTAGAAGCATAAGGTGAGGCAGGGGCTATGGCTTGGACAAAGGCTGGGAAGGTTGATGGGCTCACCTGGTCATCTGGACCCTGAGTATTGTTCGTTTTACACTTCGCACCAAGCACCACCGGCTCTGGGGGTTCAGGCAGGAGGACTCATAGCCCAGATATATTCCCTGCCTCCAGGCCTCAGTTTCCCCATTTGAAAACGGCAAACTGATGATTCTCCAGGCTTCTGCCCCCGACTGGGGCACCTTACCCGGGCCAGGTGGCGCCGTGCAGGAGAGGTGGGGCCTCAGGA